GAAATTCTATTTTTTAGCTCTTAAAATTTCCATTTGATTATTAGTTTTTTTTTCTTCATTCATAACTTACATCCTTTACTAAGTAAATTCCAATAGTTGCTTTAACTGAACTATAGAATCACCGATTTGGCATCTGTTAATTATCTTTTCTCTTGAAAATGGGTCACATTTTCCTGTTCTACATGTTACATAATTTCACATTTTTTTCCTAGACCTTTTGAATGCCATGTTGTAGAGATGTGGGATTTTGTGGTACTGCTCTGAAGATGTTGTTAGTTGTTTTTTGGAGACAGTTAACTGGGGGACAAAGTGCTAACTGGATCGATGTCTCTGGTAGGTCCAGGTGCTGTCCCAGTTCAGACTGACAGTGTGTCCCAAGTAAATATGAATTGGAGATTCAGCCAGAGTAGTTTATACTCAGAGTTTGGAGTATTTGCCCTACCCCACCCCTTTCTGGAGATTCCTTCTCTCTGGCAGTCATACTTGCTCAGGCTTTTTCCCATGGTGCTTTTTCATGAGTAGTAGCTGCCCTACATCTCTGTCATTGTAACTGCAACCTCCCCTCTAGCCCACACCATAGGTTCTGTTACTTTCCAAAATTTGCCTGTTCTTATTAACTCTCCAGTGCCCTCAGGTTTTTCTGCTCATTTGTTTTTGTTTACATTTTGTGCAAGCTTTGTATTTATTTACTGCAGGGTTGGTATATTAGGACCTTGCCCCACCATTGTAGAAGTAGAGCCTCATGTTCAGATCAGGGGCTTTCTCAGGATGTCTGGTGTCCTCAGCCATGAGATGATGAGGCACTTTTGAATCATAAGTTCTGAATATGTGGATGAGGCTTATTAACTGTAAGCTTCACTCTCCATTTGTGAGCACTTCTCATTTGTCTGAATCATCTCACTGGGTGACACTCACCCAGTGTCAGTATGTTTATCTCTGTTTCTCCTCTGCCCTGTCTAGAAAGCAGAGATATTACTGTGCTCTGCACTGATTGTGGGGGAGGGGTAAGAAAAAGTAGCCGGTTCTCATATTTCTCTCTTACCCCGCATTTCTCTTCTTGATCTTTGGTTAGTACCTCCCGGAGTAGAGAAGATTGTTGTCCTTTATTTTACCTTCTTAAATGCTGGATTGAGCAGTCTAAAGGATAGTTGATACTTCCACAAATATTTCACCACTTCCCCTGTGTTTAGACTCTTCACATTCTCACTTTCAGGGACCCTAGTGCCACCAGTGTTTGATACTGTCATATGTTCTGCAGCATTAAGTTATGCTGTTTCTTGCCTGGATTTAGCCTTCTTCAACTCAGATACCACTTGACATGCTTTCTAACTTCCAGAATGTTACTTCGGTTCTCTCTCATGGATTTATTGGGAGAGTGATGCATAAATCCCTCTTACTGTCATTTTACTGGAGGTTTGGGAAGATCCACAAATTAAGTAGACATTCTAATTGATAATCCTCACCTGGATTTCTTTGATTTTCTTTTTTCATTTTAGTCTTCATTTCTTCTGTTATTTTGGTAAATGACATTAAAAGACGTTCCTTTACAAATATGTCTGATTTCCTAATAATTTTCTGTTTACTAAAATAGTCTTCTCCCCTTGACATAAAATACTATTTATGAAGTACACTGAGATATTATATATGCTATGCATATGTCTAGCCTTTCCATTCTTTTGGTCAGTACTTCTCTTCTTCTACTTAGCTATTATTCCAGATGAATTTTAGAGTTATTCTTGGCCTCTTCAGCTCCTAACTCCAGAAAAGTATCTTTATACAATACATTATATACATTTACACATCTGTATAGATGGTTATCCATATGATGAGATTTTTATTGGCTTTTACTCCTTAAATAGGAGAGGATTGCCATTTTTGCAAACTTAAAGAGAATGCTACTCATTATAATCACTCCAATCCTTTATGTACATAAGTCAATATATATCAAGTATCTACCTTGTGCCAGAGCCCCTTTCAACGTTACGGACATAATGGTTAAGAGAACACCATAGCTCCTAGTGTCATATTACCAAATTTGTGTATTTGTTACTGAAATCAGTCCTAAGCATGTTATATATTTGTAGCAGTTGTGAGTGTAATTTCTCTCTCTCTCCCGCCACACTGTTTTCCAGCTGGTTATTACTAGGAGACAAGAAAATTGTTCATTTCCCTTCAGGCCTTCTGAGGTCAGCATTTCTTGTGCCAAAAATGTGACATTCCCCTCCTCCATCCCACCTCCTTGCCAGTCCATAGAGGTTTTTCCAGAGTGCCACCTGCTTCTTGTTGAGATTTGACAGTGACTGCGAATTATAGTTTGATGAGCAACAGCAACTCCTAGGGATTTTATTCAGCTGTCACATAGAGTTAATTGCGTGCTGAAGTTTGGTGTGGAAAATTTTATGACGTCTGATTTCTTCATTCAGTCTTATTAGCCCTCAAGGTTTTCTTTGTTCTTGAGCCTCTTTGCCTCTCCAGCTGTCAGTTTGGTTTTGTTCCCATTTAATTTCATGCCATACTCATACAGTAATGAGAGCACAGCTAGAGGATCTTGCTCAAAAGTGCGGGGGGAGTGGGGGAATGATTTAAAAGAGCTCAAATAATCCCATTTTTAGTTTTGTGTTCTTTGAGAGCATGCCCTCAAAACTAAACAAGTGATAGAAATGAGAGTTATTCTTCTAAACATCCTGCACAAGTTTCATTTCTTAGAACTGTTGTTACATCATAGCTGGCAAAACACTTAGCTAATTTTATGGGAATTTTTTTCCCCTAGGTGATGGTCAGGCTGCATCACTACTATTTATTGATTTCTTCTCCAAAGGCTGTGGCAATTAACAGCTTTACTCTGATCCACAGGCCTCATTCTCCTCTCTGATGTCCAGAGTTATCTAGTCCAAGAGCACCAAGGCCCTGCTTCTGCAGCATTGCTCATTTATACGTATGGGTTTGGAGACAGCAACTAATATAGACTGTCAACCTGTCTTCTCCAAATTCTGCGCTGCTTCTGCTATATTGCATACATAGCCAGACTTTGGGTAAATGATTACAAATTGTCAGAGTACTGATTTATCAAAATCATTTTGCTATTTAGGTATACCTTCTACTCCCACCCTCTGTTAGAGTTACAGGTTTCCAAATTTTACTAGTGTCTCCTTAATTTATATTCTAAGTTTTTAAGAAGACATTTCTGTCCTACTGCATTGAAATACAAGGTACTTTGTGAAAGCCATCGGTTAAGTAGACCTGGCTTCAACTCAGTTACTATCTATGTGATGGAGCAAGACATTCTACTAATGGTTTTTAGTTTTCTTTCTCAGTTTCCTCAGTTGTAAAAAAGGGATAATAATAAAAACTTACAGGACCATGGTAAGAATTAAATGTGATAGGATATATCAGGCACAAAATGGATACTTAGAACTTGGTCTTCTATTACTGTTGTGGCTGTTATAAATGTAATCTATATAATGTACATATTTAACCCTTAACCTTCATCTTATAACATAAAATCTTTTTGGTCTGCCAGTGTGACCATCCTATCACTGCCACCTGTTTCATTTTCTACTATAGTTTCCATATAATATTGTCCTTGAACATATTCTAATTTTAAAAAAAGAAACAAACCCAAAAAACATTGTCATACTTCTAGGTCTGGTTATACTGTGGCTTTTTAAAAGGAAGGCAGTATTTTCAGGTTCATTCTTTTGTGTTATGTCCCTGCAAGTCTGAGTTGCTCAGGTTTCTTTATATATATTTCTTCCTTGGCTTATTTCTTTACATAGCTTTTGTTTTTCTTCCAGCAAGGTAGGGTTATGTTGTCAGATTTAGTTTTCTAAAGCCATCCCCACACCAAGTCATCTATCCCTATATGTCTATTCTTGTACTCTTACCAGCTCTTTATCTAAGTTTTGGAGTTTAAATTCTGGGCTACACATAATATTTTTGCCAAGATCCATGACTTTGGCTCATGTCGGGTTTAGATAACTTGTTCCTTTCGTCACAGGCTCCTATTCTGCTTGATCAGCCAGTTTTTCTTTGTTGGTCAGAATTGAGCCCAGAGTAACGTCCACCTGTTAATTCATTTGTTATCAGTGGAGCAAACAAGAAAACAATAAAAACAGAGTAAGACAGCAGAGAACAAGACTGATACTATGTTTTGGATATAACAAAGATTAGATATAATCTTGGATTGAAACTATGGATAAATTTCACGGTTTCTATCATAAGGTCCCTTCTGTGTTTTCTCTTGATGGACAGTAATGATATATGGCCCCCACAGTTTGATTTCCTGTTCTCTTTCCTCTTTCCATTACCCCCACTATGTGGTCCACCTTAGTTCTTAACTGTCTACACAGGTATGCCTTCTTCCTGGTATTCAGCTGTACTCTCTCACATGTTTTCTTCTAAATATTCTTCAGCCTCCCCGCCTCTGATGTACCATAGGCACTAGTCCTAGTTGCTTAGCCATGTACTTCCCAAGCTATAAGCTTGGAGGTTTTGCTGGGTATATCTAAAGTTTTAAGGAGCTGGTAAACTAGAAACGACCAACCATATATAAAAGGATTACAGGGCAGTGTGGTCTTCTTACCACTCTTAGTTACCCTGAGCAGCCGGAGACTGAAGTAAAATAAACTCTGAGTTCTGCTTATAGTCAGTAGTTGAGGCTTGTAGTTGCTTTTTCTGGTCTTATGATTAGATTCACTGTGAATATAAGCTAGGGAATTCTTGAGAATATGCTGCTTGGACAATACTGAGGATCAACATTGTGTGTTTATAATTCTAGTCCTTAGTTCATGGCTGGTTTTTGTTTTGGTTTCGTTTGTTTGGAGGAGGGAGGGAGGCATTTTACAATGCAGTTTTAAGAGTCTGCCATGCTTCATATGTAGGGGGTGGGAATCCTTCTAGACTGCTGTCATTCCTTTGGGCAAGAGCTTCCTGCATTATTTGCTGTTCTCCATTAAAGTCATAATTAACACCTGGGCTTTCGTTCATTTGGGTCCCCTCAGATACACCTATGAGCGAATTGATGGGCGAGTACGGGGAAACCTGCGCCAGGCAGCCATCGACCGATTCTGTAAACCAGACTCAGACCGCTTTGTCTTTCTTCTGTGCACCAGAGCGGGAGGCCTGGGGATCAATCTCACAGCTGCTGATACCTGCATCATATTTGATTCTGACTGGAACCCACAGAATGACTTGCAGGTAACCTTGAGGATGATTGCTCTTTACCTTAGCTGCCCTGAATCCCGTAGTATAGTGACAGGGTCTGGCTTAGCTATAGATTGTCTGCCATGCTCCATGTTGTGGTGTTAGCTTAGGGTCTTGGTCAGGAGATGAAACCTAATGAAAAGTAAATTCTGTCCCTTCCCACTAATCAGAGAATGTTTCTGTCCTTTTGCTTTAAATGAAATGGTGTTTCATAGAGATAGCCTCCAAATACAGAGCAGAACTACTATTACTATCAGACATAAAGATATCTGGCATTTTTCTCTCAATTTGTTTGTTGATAGTCACGTGTTATATACGTAAACAAGCTAACCCAGACAGGAAAGTGCCATGGTGTGGCATTAGTGACACAGGCACCCTCAGTCTAATCCATTTGCTCTCCACACTTAATACAGCATATCAGAGTTTATGTGTGCTTTAAATGATTTTGTTTTGTTTATTTTGTTTTGTGAGACAGGGTCTTGCTTTGTTGTTCAGGCTGTCCCTGAATTCACTATGTAGCCCAAGCTGGCTTCGAACTCGCAGCAATCCTCCTGGCTCAGCCTCCCAAGTGGCAGGATTACAGGCGTGCGCCACCACACCCAGCCTGCCTTAAGTGATTTTGCAGATTCTGTGTTCTAGTTTTAACCAAATGAAATAAGATGCTTAAATGATTACTGCAAAAATGCATTTTAAAAAGTAAAATAGGAAAATGACAGCATGGCTTGGGGTTCTTCACTAACCCTATTTCAAAGTAAAAACAATGACAATCTAATCAGATTGGGCATTGGATGAGCCAAAAAGATTCTAAGTTATCATGAAGACTATTTATAATATACATTTTCAACCATTATTAATAATTATGAACTTCATCCCTAATGTGTATTGTATCTTGGGATATTTATTAATACAAGAATTGTGAGTAAAGTGTGGAAGGTAAGGAGATGGCTCAAACATTTTTCATAGATTGATCAGAAGAAGTTTGGAGGCTGAAGCTTCACATGACTCAAGAGGGACCCTAGGGATACTGCAAGGGAGAGAATGCAGGGAGGATGGCTCTGAGCTCATGGATATCCGAGCTCCTTCCTACCCACTCACTTCCATACAGTCATTTGGCTTGATTGTTTTCATTTAATGAGTTTACAAATAAGCTACTGTTTGAAGAAAACATTCTAGTGAGTAGTTGAAAAACCAGTGCTATAAATTATTAAATTGGTGGTGGCTGGCTAAAACTCAGGAAAAACTGCCATCAGTTATCATAAAACAAATTGCATGGCACTACCTTCAACATCCAGCTTCAAAGAAAACCAGTGGTTATGCATAGCTGTCTATCAGCTCTTTCTCCTCCTGGTGAAAGGATGTTTGGATAAAATGAGTTGCTGGATATAATAAGTAATCCATTTTTTAAAGAGTAACATATACACAGCACTAAAATAACAATAAGCAAAAGCTAACTTTCAAGAACTGAATTAGGATAATGATATAGAGTATGGAAAAATACCCCCCCACTGCCTTTTAAAAATAGTTTTATTGAAATACAGCCACATCCATTCCTGTATGCATTTTCTTTAGTCAGTTTCATGTTACAGGAATTGAATAGTTGGAATAGAAATCACATATCCCACAAAACCTAAATTATTTACTATCAGGCCATTGGAAGTTTGCCAACTCCCAAACTGGTGATTTCTTAAGCGCTTGGTAGTGATAATCTTCTGTATTCCTTTGTGTTGCTCACCTGACTGTGAAGCATAGTAAAGCACCTAGGAGAATGATAGTACAAGAAACCAAAGTCCATCTTGTAGCCATGTCGGCAAGACATGCTTGAGGGGATACTTAGAAGAGAAATTTGAGGCATTATGCCAGAGGCAGATATTTTGGAATCACACTACTTCTACCAAGTGAAGTGTAAATGTTATGGGTGAAATAGAGATACAATGCCAAGAAATGGGGAAAGTAAAAATGTTCAATCCTTAACAAGGAGGTGAAGTTCTCTCAGTTGATTGATTTGTATATACAGCAACCAGAGGAAATAGATGGACCTATCTGGAATTAAGATCTGGGAAAAGGGAGAAGCTTTGGAATAGCTGTTTTTAATATGCACTGTTCAGCCTAGCATAGTGGTGCACTCCTGTAAACCCAGGAACCTGAGGCAGGAGGATCACCGCAAGTTCAGGGCTAGCCTGGGATACACAGTGAGCTCAAGGCCAGCCTGAGCTACATAGTGAAACCCTCTCTTAAAAAAAAAATGGAAAGAAAGAAAGCATGCATGCATGCACTGTTTAGGAACTGGCAAAAGATGGATTAAAGAAGAGCGGCAAAGTCCAAACTGTAGTGTGGATTTGTGTGCTGAGTCTGTTTCTGAACTTCTAATGTTCAACATGAATTAAGCAACAAAAAAACCAACAGCACCTATGATGCAGCGTGGTATCTTGTACGTTGGTGCCTATCAAAAGCTTAATGAGTGAGGGAATCAATGATAATGACAGCCCATTTCAGATTGAGAGATAGAATTTTTCAACTTTTGATCTTCCAGATTGGCTTCTTATATTCACTGCTTTCTGTTTTCTTTGTTGTTATTGAGGATTTTATGATTCAGAGGGAATTGTTGCTTTTTTCTTTTCTTTTTTTTTTTTTTTTTTCTTTTTTTTTTTTTTTTTCTTTTTTTTTTTTTTTTTCTTTTTTTTTTTTTTTTTCTTTTTTTTTTTTTTTTTCTTTTTTTTTTTTTTTTTCTTTTTTTTTTTTTTTTTCATTTTTTAATGTCTGACCAAACTGGGTAGAAAGAAAAATAGACAATTCAATATTAAGACAGCGAATTGGAGGGCTGGGGATTTAGCTCACTGGTTCTGCTGCCTGCCTCACAAGTGCAAGGACCTGAGTTCAATCCCTGGTACCAAAAAAAAAAAAAAGAAAGAAAGAAAGGGAATTGGATCAGTGATTATTGAGAGTGGGATTTGTAGACTATAAAGAAGGTCCAAATTTTTAGTATCCCAGAGACGGCTTGATATGATTGATGGCAAAGAGCCCCAGACACATACACACAGAATGGTGCATACACATCTATATTTTCGCCTCTTGCCCTGTGCCCTGTACCCAGGGGCTACAAATGTAAAAGAGGAGAATGTATGTAGGGACTAGGATCCTGAGACCATTCTGTGATTTCCAGAACTGCAGCTAAGTCAGCTGTAAAGATTAATGAATAAAATCTTTACCCAACAGAAATGAAAATTTAAATAGACTCTTTTGAGTACTACTTTTGCTAGGTAAGTCATGCTTCCACAATCACATGTGTCAATTTTCACACTACTATTTTTAATAAACAAATGGAGACTTCCAGTCACCTACAGTTATTTAGGATTAGTGCCTTTAGAAGATGGGTTTAGCCGTAAAACATTTATATGAGAATGTATTGAGGCACATACTACATGATACAAATGTTGAGGCATAGAAAAGATGATCCCTTTGTGAACAGAGTCATACCTCACTCTAGTGGAATTCAGAGGTCTCAGTTGGTGTGATAGAAACATGAGTTCCCACTCTAGTCTCAAACAGCCTGACAAGATCTGAGACAGTCCATGGCTGTCCCAGTCAGGAAACATGGGGAAGCAGTATCAACTTGAGGGACAGTCTGTTCTCCTGACTGACCCCAAGAAGATCTCCACAGCACTTTAAAAGCAAAGCCACATTGATTATGGGGAGGCTGGGTTCAGCCCAAACAGACTTGATTTCCTTTGTTAGTCAGCTTTCTGTTATTGCAATAAAATACCTGAACCAAGCAACTTTAAAAACAGGAAGGTTTGTTTGGCCCACAGTTTCAGTTCTTTCAGCCTGTGATCAGTTGGACCTGTTGCTTTGAACATTTGGCCAGGCAGCATATCATAGCAGGAAGCACATTGTAGAACAACCTGCTTTCCTTATGTTAGCAGGAAGTAAACAGAGACAGGAAGAGGTCCCTGTATCTTCTTCAGGGGCATGCCTGGAAGACCTAATTTCTTCCCACTAATTCCTACCTCTTAAAAGCTTCCACTACTTTCCATTTGCTCCAAACTGAGGACCAAGCATTTAACAGATACAAACTATAACAGTTCCTAGGGCTGACCTACAGATAAAACAGTTTTCAGGTAGGAGAGCAGAGCTTCATTCTCTGAAAAATCAGCCTTACTTCCTCTGGTGCTTTTTTATTATTACCAAAGTCCATTCAGTAATTTTTCTGATTATTTTGATGTGCATGTGTGTGTGTGTGTGTGTGTGTGTGTGCACTTTATGGGTAGAATAAGAGTTTTAAGACTTGCTATAGGTGTTTTTACATCTAAATCTCAGAAAACAATGGCAGTGAAAGTCATGTGTTACTTCTTTTATCTTGTTAGAGTCTGAAGAGTCCGATGAATCGTATTCCTCTTCCATGCCTAGATCTGATCCAATTGGAAGTAGACACATGAGTTATGAGAGAGGATCAAAACAGAATTAGCTTCTTAAAGACTCCTGCACATACACACCCCATCCCTAGGTTAAATTTACCCAACAGATCTTCTGGCAGCCATTTGCAGAGCAGGGGCTGTACTAGTAAACCTGCCAGTGATAAGACTCCTATGTTCGATAGACAGAGGAGGGTAGCCAATCTGCACAAGCTCAAACCCTGCCCCATATTTCATTGGTCTGGTAAATCATTCCTTTAAGGTGGAGAGAGAAGGGGGGATAGAAAGCCTTGTTAAGTTTCCTCTTAGAAAAATGAAAGGCAAGAAATAAGACTCAAACCACACCACAGCATCTGTTCTACTATCCTAGAATCACTTCTTGCCTTCGGAAGTCCTTCCAGAAAAGTGAAGGCACAAGTTCGTTAGGACACAGAATAGGAACTGGGCACTACTTAGAAATAACAAAAGAGATTAAAGTTAGTAATAAAAATCTCAACAGTGTTATTTTATCTCGATTATTAGAGGGAAATAAATTTTTTGTTCCCCATACTAGAGACACCTTATCTACAGATATTACATAAATAT